CTGCTGCTCAATACCGAATAATACCCACACAAATTTATCATGGGATTTTAATCAGAATTTTGGGGTTGACAGCGCCGCTTTATGATAATAATCGCAAGGGATAGTGCTTGGTGGTTTCCAGCATATTGAAATGTTGTGTCGTTGGAGGTTAATGTGCTATCGCAGAGTGGCTCCATATTTCAACATACAAGTGGAAGTGGTAAGTTATTTTTCGAGGCAGAGTAAATTATGCGCGTTTTGTAAACTATGCTCACTGTAAGCTTTGTCGAAAAGGTGTTAAATGGGTACGTGCATTGAGCCAAACACTGTTAAGGCCTTTTGCAAAATGGGTAAACTGTGGTTGGGGCTTTACAAGTGAGGGTTACAGCTCCCTTAAACAATCAAACAATCAATGTGCGTTGCAGGTTATTTGCACCTGTGCACTACTGTCCCAATAATTGTGGAAAAGATGTCTTGTAGATGTGCAGAGGGATGTTCACTCAATGCTTGAGTCCAGTGCCAAATAAGTTATTTGAAAGGTCATTTAGAGTATGGGGCGAGAGGCATTTAAAAGTGTCTTGTATGAGTAAATTATATGTAATTAATAGTTGGTGATTGTTGAGTATTAAATGAAAGCAAGCGTTCAATAAAAAATAGCGCTGAAAGTACCGTTTAATATGATTGCAGGGACACAGCCCGGAAATGTTCTCAACATGAGCAGAGAAGTCTGTGGAGTCATTTTACCTGCAAGAATAGGTGAGTTGACATGGCAGTAACCAACGCTATGGTCCAATTTGTCTCTGTACAGACTCTATGAGAAGCTTCCTTTGGTGTGCATCCAAGGCAAGTTACTGATAGTTTGTATGATATGCCTTGGTCCTTCCCTGGCGATTTCAATCCTTCCCCGTCAAAAGCCACGCTTAATATTTGTTATCATTAAAAATGTCTTTTAAAAATCTTGACAATTTGGGAAATATCTGGAATTGGTTTGGGTTGGTTGGGCAGACTCCCCTTTCACTTGCTCTGTCTGAATAATGGTGCCGACGCCGACCCACTACAGCAGAGTTTTCAGATATTGCGCCCAAGAGGTAATCTGCATTTAGTTTCTAGAGACCACCTCTTAAGACTAAAGTTTCTTTGGATAGGGGTGGTTTCTGACCCAGCCAAAGGTAGTTTTATGGTCCCCTCGTTCACCCCTGTCGATTAGTATCCTCCGTCGAAATCCCGGGACCCATCAATTTTCGGTCAAAACACAAAGTGTAAATTTTGACCAAAATGAAAAAAAATAATGAAAATCGCTGGAAATGGTTGGGATTAGCCCGACAGCATTCTCTTTCAATCTCTCCGTCGAAATTTCACGCCGCCGGGCCATTGTAAGTGACTTGCGCCTTGGACCGGTTCGCCTGCGAGGTAGGCAGCCCATCATACGCTGCGCGCCAGATTCAAAAGACTACCCCTTAAAACTCCAGTTTCTCCGGACAGGGGTGGTTTCTGGCGGAACCAAAAGAAGTTTTGTGGTCCCCTGGTTCACCCCTGTCGATTCGACTACTTTTCCGTCGAAATCCGGACCCATCAATTTTCGCTAAAAACACAAAGGCTATAG